GTAGGAGGAACACCTGAGCCTGGGAAGTTTGTGCTGCAGTGAGCTATGACCGCGTCTCTGCATTCCAGCCTGGGTGACACAGCCAGACCCTGTCTCTAAAAAAAAGAAAAAGACCAGGGCAAGAGGAAGACCAGGGCAAGAATATGTGACAAACTGTACCTGACAGGAAATGCTTAAAATATTCACTATGGCTGGGCTCGGTGGCTCACGCCTGTAATCCTAGCACTTTGGGAGGCCGAGGTGGGTGGATCACCTGAGGTCAAGAGTTCAAGACCAGCCTGGCCATTATGATGAAACCCCATCTTTAAAAAAAATAAATAAATAATAAAATAAAATATTCATTGTGTGACTCTTTCCATGAAATGTTGCCAACCCTGGAGATTAAACTTTGAGCCCCACTCAGAGCCCCACTCTCTAGAGCAGTCACACTGAGAGTACCCTGTCATTCAGGGAAGTTTGAGGGATTGGGTTCTTGGCAAAGAAGAGGACTGAGCCAGGGCAGGTTATACTCACTGGAAGAATTCAGGAACTTGGATGCTGTATTCACCCTAGTACCCATAGAATCAAAGGCGTTCAGGGCATCACCAGGATGGGCTTCATAGACAAGGCAGGTAGGGGTCTTTGGCAACTGTGGGTGGCACAACAGAGTCCTGTAGGACAAAGGGATGTTGTGGCTCATGTTTATTATTTTTTTTTTATTTTTTATTTTTTTTGAGAGAGTCTTACTCTGCCAGGCTGGAGTGCAGTGGCACAATCTCGGCTCACTGCAACCTCCACCACTCGGGTTCAAGCAATTCTCCTGCCTCAGCCTCCCAAGTAGCTGGGACTACAGGCACCTGCCACCACGTCCAGCTAATTTTTGTATTTTTAGTAGAGATAGGGTTTCACCATGTTAGCCAGGATGGTCTCGATCTTGACCTCGTGATCCACCCGCCTCAGCCTCCCAAGTGCTGGGATTACGGGTGTGAGCCACTGCACCTGGCCGCCTCATTATTTTATTTATTTTTATTTTATTTTAGGTTTTTTTTTTTTTTTTTTTAAGAAACATTTTCCCTTTTTCCCCCGCTCAAGTACACTGGCACGATCTTGGCTCACTGCAACCTCCACCTCCCGGCTTCAAGCAATTCTTCTGCCTCAGCCTCCCCAGTAGCTGGGATTACAGGCACCTGCCACCACACCCGGCTAATTTTTGTATTGTTAGTAAAGATGGACTTTCACCACGTTGGCCAGGCTGGTCTCAAACTCCTGACCCCAACTGATCCGCCCACCTTGGCCTCCGAAAGTGCTGGGATTACAGGTGTGAGCCACTGCGCCTGGCCTTGGGACTGAGGTGGGAGAATCGTTTGAACTGAGGAGGTGGAGGTTACAGTGAGCCGTGATTGCACCACTGCACTCCAGCCTGGGCCCCCTGAGTGAAACCCCCTCTCAAAAAAAAAAAAAAAAAAAAAGATAAAATAATGATTCATTCTAGGGAGACGGAGATGACATCAGAGAGCACATTTTGTAAAATCACATAACAATACTGAGAAAAGCCACACCCTAGGGGAATTACCGTCCCCACCCACTCATCAGGTGAGGAGATGGAGACCAGGAACAGTGGGGACATGGGGGTGGGCTTCAGTCAACAGTTCAGCCAGGGAGGAGGCCAGGTGCAGGGCCAGCGTTGGCTTCTCTGCACAGTCACACCCCTGGGCTGGGCTTGGTGTCCCATACCCAGCTCCCCAGACTGTGGTTCACAGACTCACACCCTACCTGGCTGGGTACAGCGCTCAGCCTTCTCCCTCCTGTTTCCTCTGGGAACTTTCTCTTGGAACTTCTCCTTTCTCTTGCTCTTTTTTTTTTTTTTTTTTTTAGTAGAGGTGTGGGTCTCACCATGTTGGCCAGGCTGGTCTCCAACTCCTGGGCTCAAGCCATACTCCTGCCTCAGCCTCCCAAAGTGCTGGCATTAAGGGCGAGAGCCACTGTGCCCAGCCTGAATTCCTCTTTTTAATCTCTTCTAAGAAGGCTTGAGTCTCCGGATGGCTCAGGTTTTGATTGTACCTCCTGGGTTTTGAACTTTGTTAAATGCAACCCCAGAGAAATCATGCTCACACCTGGGATCACGCCCCTGTCTGGTCTCGGAGTCTGGGTTTTAACAGCTCCGCAGATGATTCTTATTATTGTCACGGTGGGGAAGTACTAGGATAGAAGGTGATGAGAGGGAGGAAGACAGGATTTGATGTGAGGCCCATCTCACAAGGTGCTAGGAAACCATTCTTTTTCTTTCTTTTTTTTTGGAGACAGAGTCTTGCTCTGTTGTCCAGGATGGAGTGCAGTGGTGCGATCTCGGCTCACTGCAACCTCCACCTCCTGGGTTCAAACAATTCTCTTTCCCCAGCCTCCGGAGTAGCTGGGATTACAGTCACGTGCCATCACGCCCAGCTAATTTTTGTAATTTTAGTAGAGACGGGGTTTCATCATGTTGGCCAGGCTCGTCTCAAACTCCTGACCTCAGGTGGTCCGCCCGCCTTGGCCTCCCAAAAGTGCTGGGATTAAAGGCGTGAACCACCTCACCTGGCCTCTACAACGAATTAATTAAAAAAGAACCCAGACCACAAAATTTCTGCAGTCATCAGTCCAGGAAAGCAAGTCAGAGCCTCTGCAGCCATCAGCCTCAAATGGCCAGGGCTGGATCCATCACTCATAGCTTCCCTAATTTTTGTGCCCACCCCCCCCAACCTTGATTTCAACTTAGTACCAAGCAGAGAAAGCCAATGTTTGTCTAAACAGCCCTCCAAGAGCCTCCTTCTGGTCAGCTCCCTGGCTGCCTCCCAACGCCAGCAGCCTTTGATCAGGGCATATCTGAAGCCTTCCCTTTTCTCTGCTTTAAAGCTTTCGCTTTTTTTTTTTTTTTTTTTTTGAGGCAGGGTCGAAGGCTATCTTCCAGGCTGGAGTGCAGCACCGAGATCTCAGCTCACACCAACCTCTGCCTCCCAGGTTCAAGCAATTCTCACGCCTCCGCCTCCTGAGTAGCTGGGATTACAGCATGTACCACCACACCTGGCTCATTTTTCATATTTTTTTGTAGAGACAGGGTTTCACCATGTTGCTCAGGCTGGTCTCACACTCCTGACCTCAAATGATCTGCCCACCTCGGTAGTCCCAAGTGCTGGGATTACAGGCATGAGTCATCGCGCCCAGCCCTGGAACCTCATTCTTTCATCTTTAATATGTGCAGGGACTCCAGTCCCCCACCCCCACCCTGTCACAGTTCCCATAACAGTGCCTGTCACCAATTATGTTCTCAACTTATATTTTTGGAAGAAAGAGAGAGAGAAACAGAAGGGGGAGGGGGTAGAAAGAGAAAGTAAGGGGAGAGGAAAATGAGAGAGGGACACTGGAGAAGAGACACGCAAGGGAGACACAGAGAGACCGAGGGAAAGAGACAAAGGCTGGGCACAGTGGCTCACACCTGTAGTCCCAGCACTTTGGGAGGCCGAGGCAGGAGGAGGCCAAGGTCAGGAATTTGAGACCAGCCTGACCAATATGATGGAACCCTGTCTTTACTAAAAATACAAAAATTAGCTGGGCATGGTGATGCACACCTGTAATCCCAGCTACTGTTCTCCTGCCTCAGCCTCCCGAGTAGCTGGGATTACAGGCACTTGCCACCATGCCTGGCAGAGAGAGAGAAACAGAAGGGGGAATAAAAAGAAACAGAACCATGTTGGTCAGGCTGCTCTTGAACTCCTGACCTCAGGTGATCTGCCCACCTTGGTCTCCAAAGTGCTTGGATTTCAGGTGTGAGCCACTGTGCCTGGCCTTTTTTTTTTTTTTTAAGTAGAGACAGGGTTTCACCATGTTGGCCAAGATGGTCTCGATCTCTTGACCTTGTGATCAGCCTGCCTCGGCCTTCCAGAGTGCTGGTATTACAGGCATGAGGAACATTGCCAGAGAACCAGGTTTCAAGGGGATGGAGATTCTGTGATGGTTGTGAAGTGGCTCTGGAGCATCTGAGTACAGTCAGGGAGGTTTAGGAGAACTTACTTTTTCTGAGAATTTTCTAGAAACATGAGATTTTTAGGAATCCTGGGGGTGGAATCCAATTCACTCAACTACCAGGGAGGGGATGCTTCAGGTTCTTCTCAGGGTGTTTTTGTGTTACCAATCTCCAGGCCTTGAGGAAGGGTTTGAGTTGATTCAGAAGGCTAGGGGGACCTGAAACTATGTCCAGGCAGCTTGCGTTTTCAGGACACTTTCTGATACTGGGAAATTTTTGGAACATCATTCTCACAGAATACATCTTCCAATATTCCAGTTGGTCCCCTGTGCTTTATTTTACTTATTTATTTATATAATACAGAGTTTTTGCTCTTGTTGCCCAGCCTGGAGCGTAATGGCGTCATCTCGGCTCACTGCAACCTCCACCTCCCAGGTTCAAGCAATTCTCCTGCATCAGCCTCCGCAGTAGCTGGGATTACAGGCATGCGCCACCAAGCCCGGCTAATTTTGTATTCTTAGTAGAGAAGGGGTTTCTCCATGTTGGTCAGGCTGGTCTCGAACTGCTGACCTCAGGCCTCCCCAAGTGCTAGGATTGGTCAGATTGGTCTCAGACTCCCCACCTTGGCCCTCCAAAGTGCTGGGATGACAGACCTGGCTGCTTTTGAGACAGAGTTTCTGTCGCCCAGGCTGGAGTACAGTGGCACAATCTCCTGGGTTCACTGCAACCTCTGCCTCCCAGGTTCCAGCATTTCTCCTGGTGCTTCCTTACACAGACATGACTGATGAAACCGTCAGCCAATGGTGATCAACCTCACCTTCAGCTTCCTTCCCCTCCCAGAAGTTAGCCCTCTGATCCTGCTGGGGTCTTCCCGCGACCAGCCCCGCATCCTGAAGCTATCAGTCAGCATTAGCGTACGAAAAGACAGCCCTTGGGAGACTCCCTGGAATTCTGGGATTGCTTTCCAGGAATCAGGCATGAGGACCAAATACAAATGTCACAGTATCACACACACACCATTACAACATGTGACTTTCTGTATTTATCATCTCTCTCGACTTTGTAGAGATGAACAGGCAGGAGAAGCAGAACTGGAGCTTGGAGCGTAAGCTTGGGGTTCCACAATGGGGTAGAGGAAGTATACGTTAGGATCTTGGCAGCAGCCGAAATGGACCATTCTGTGGCCAAGGAGCTCATGTGCAGGGACCTTGAGGTTGGGGTACGCGATGAGCTGGAACGAGGGTACCCGATGGCCCGTGTACACCAGGCCGATCGGGCGAGCCGTGCTGGGCAATCTGGGTAGCGCGTCTGCATCTCTCCGGCGGACACTGGTGCTGACCCCACCCTCCGGTCCTGGTGGTTGTGGAGTTTCTTCCTTTGGCTCAGGATGCTTGCATTTGGCTTTCTTGAGTTTTGCTCTGCGGTTCTTGAACCAGACCTGAAGGGAAGAGAGAGAAGAGCTAGGGGTTGAAAATGGGGTAGAGGCCGGGTGCGGTGGCTCACG